TATAATTAATATACCTATATTAGTATCTACGGTTAGTGGATAAGAGGGAAAACATTTTTATTTTCTATTCTACTAGAAAAAGTAATTCGTGACAAAAAATATTTTGCTTTTTAATTGAATACGTTTGTCATGAAAAACTGTAATAAATATATATACAGGGTGATCAGAAATTTAACAAAATTAATAACGTTGAAGAATAAACTGCTTTTGTTTTTGATAATATAAAAAAAATGTTAATAAGAAAAGTTGTTCATAACGGAAAGTTACGTTATAATTACGATTTGTGAATAAAGCGGCTTACTTTGGTATAAACAGAAATGGAAAATATTATATTTTTAATAATTAATATTAAGTAATTCTTGATAAAAAAAATTTGCATATTAATATAAATAGAATTTTAATTGTGAATATACATAATAATGAGAAAATATAAAAAATATGTACGATATACTTATTTTGTCCAAAAAATGTGTAAAGAATTATGTACAAAAGGACGATTTGAGTCTAAATTTTTTTTATGAGAAATAGGTAATTCAGTTCACTTCAATTGAAAAAATAGTTGTCTTATAGGTACTTTAATACCTCCAATATAAACAGAAATTCTGTGGAACAGTGTAGTTTAATAAATATGTAAATAAATGAAAGTAATAAAGAAATAAATAGAATAGGTACAGTAGAACAGGAAAAAATTTAAAAATTCATAAAATAAAATTATTTCTTTTTATTAATTTGAGTTTCTATAATATATTCTGGATCCATACATCTTTTTCCCTGTGGAATATTTTTGTATATTATTTCTGGTAGTATACAATTTTTATAAAATTGTTCCAAATTTGTTGCCATTGATTTTTTCCATAATTCTTCATATTTCTTAATTTGTTCTACATAGAGTGGGTTGTTTTCACCACTATAGGTATATTACGAAATAACATATAGACTTCTTCCGGTTCCGTATCTGAAAGTAAGAAAAGAATTTTACCAGATAATATTTGTTATAAACATAGATAATTATACATTTTTACCTATTATGCTTTTGATTTACCATAATGATATATCTAGTCATATATAGGGTGCCACAATAGTGCGATAAAGTTTAGTATAACTGCCTGTAGTAGTGATACGAAAAAAGTTACTTGCTCGGATTCACATTTTATTATTATTTCCATTATTCATTATTTTCAGACCGAATTAAACGTTCAGAAAATCTTGTTTTTGGCCTGAAGATTTTGCCCTATACAACTATAACTGAAAATAATTATAAACTTTGTCACACTATTGGAACAGCCTGTATGTGCATTGCAACGACAATATGTCATATTTATATTACGGCTAAGTAAGCGGAAAGTCCATTGTCGCATATGTAATTTTTATTTTCAAATAATCAAATACAATACCTACATATTTATTTTAATATCTATTATTTACTTGAATTTAGTACTAAGTACAACTATGCCTAGCAAATTGTAATACTTACTCTGTTAATGTTTTTTCCTTCATATAAAAAATAGTAAACTCCACAAATAAAATATTTCGCAGCCACAACGCAACAATAAAAGATAACAGCTCAAAGATCCATACAAGAAATAATTACATTCGCACCTACTCTGGTCCGAATCCATATAAGTACTAAAATGTAGAAAATAATATGAAATAAAACTTTTAGTTGGCTGCAAATATTATAAATTTGTACAACCACTTGCCATCCTCCTTTTTTGTAAATATGTACATAATAATATGTAGAAGATAGAAAATAGAAATATTTTCAGAACAAAAAACCGGCGGCCGCAAATTGGAGTTTTTATTATTTTATTACCCTTCTCTTTTCATATGCAATTATGAGATAGCAAGAGAGTGGGATGGACGTATAGGCCGGACAACTCATTATCGTGCACGTGTGCGTGCACCTGGCATTTTCTCGTTTTTTTTAGGTGTGTTTTGCCGGAATTTGAATGAATGAAATAATCGTACTATTTTTACTGTAAACGTATTTCCTGTAGCGACATCTATATGAATATTGTAGTACTTTGTTAGATGAAACGGGACTTCAATTTCCGTTCTTAAGATGTTTGTGAATTGTCGTAATAAATCAAATACTTACAGGGTATTTCTTAAGTTATGTGGCCAGAAATAAGGGATTTTCGTTATATGAATGTGGGGTCATATGACAGCCATTGTCCAGCTACAACGCCAACGTATCAAAAATGAAAAAAAAAATCAGTTTTTAATTTTTAATTTCTAAACTGCTTGAGATAATTTAACCAAATTCACCGTTCATATTTAGTACCTATTACAGTAGATATGATTCCAGCCAGCTTTAGAAACTTACCAGTGGCGGAGGTGTCATCGATCATTATTTGCCAAAAGAATATATAACCCTGTACAATATTACAAATAAAATAGGTGGTCGTCATAATTATGCGCCGTTGTATTATCGTCACTTTTTGTTTCTTTACGCTTTTTTGTATTCCAAATCGATTAACAACAAAATTGATTTATTTAATCAAGTGCATTTTTACTATACTCATTACATGACTTAAAATAATAACAAAATACTTAACAACGGAATTACTTTACTGTGATTTATTATAACACGTGTTAGTAATGGCCGCTTTCAGCCAAAATACATGCGTCAGATCTTGAAATTGCAACTCGACCGCGTGCAAACATTCCAGGAGTAGCCCTTATCGCATCACAGCCAGCTATAATTTGTTGACGTAAGTATTCTTCGTATTCAATGTGAACCTTGTAAAACAATGTCTTGGGATATCCCAAAATAAGAAAATAAATAGGGTTCATATTGGGTAATCTGGGTGGCCAAGGTTGACCTGGTTCTTGAGTGCCTCATCCAATCACGTTATTACTGAATCTTTCATTTAAAAATTCACGAGCAGTCAAACTAAAATGTGGGGAAGCCCCGTCGTGCATAAACCACATTCTTTCTCTTAGCGCATAGGGAACATCGGCAAGTAGTATAGGTAAAACGTTTTCAAGAAAATGTCTGTAGAAGGCACGGGTAAAAGTTTTTGGTAAAAAGTAAGGCCAAACAAGAAAATTTCCAATAGTACCCACCCATACATTCAAAGAAAGCTGATGTTGAAACCGAGATTCCATTATGGCATGAGGGTTTTCATCAGACCAAACGTGTTTATTGTTGAAGTTCATTATAGCATCTCTGGAAATATTAACTTCACCGGTAAACAATATGCCAACGGTAAAGTCAACATTTTGTTCAATTTTTTGCAAAATCCAGTGGCACAATTGTAGGCGAGTAGGATAGTCTTGTGGCAGTAAGGCTTGAACCCTTTGTATGTGATACGAGTATAACTGTTGATGCTTCAGAACGGACCAAATTAATGTATGATTCACATTAAGATTTACAGCGATCTCCCTAATACTAGTATTTGGGTCTTATTCAATTTCGTGTAGAATAGCTTCTTCCAACTCAGGCGTTCCAACACGCAAAGGTTTTCCAGGAATTGAACCTTTCTGAAATGAGCCTGACTCCGAAAGAGGTCGAAAAACATTTCTAAACATTCTTGGATGATTGGGAAATCTCTCCATATAAATTCGCCTAGCCTCAGTACCATTTCCATCCGCAAGGCCATAAATGTAAACCATATTGGCCATTTCAGCATTTGAATATGCATAATCCATTATTAAAACTTAATATTTTCAAAAAATAAGCTTAATTTGACAATACACAATATTAAATAAGATTACGGTTTCTTATTATTATTATTTTGCATAGCTTCCCTAAGATATATGTAAGTAGTTTAATATTTACACCATGTATATACTTATTTAATTTTTATGTAAACTACATAGTATACTGGACATAGTATCATCCAGATATGAGCAATTTACATACTTTTCCTTATAAGTTCAAAAGGCAGCCGCATCATATTAAGTCACGTTTTGCAAATAACCTTTTTCTCCTTTTCGCCTCTTTTAAATTTGATCCTGCCAGCTCAATTTACGCCATTCATGCTGCTTTTGTTGAATCATAATGTCTCTGCGAAATATACAAGGTGATTCACAACTTGTCCAAAAAAAAATATGTATGCGATGTAAAATAAGGATAGTTTTATCACAGCTATTTCTGTTTTTAAAGCATTAACATTACAACAAAGTAAACGTAGTGGTCATAAATTATTAAATTAGTGGGTACATACTATTTAATAATGCCCACCCACGATCTTGATGAAGACTTTGATAAAATATAAGATTGAATCAGTGAGTAATGAAGATAAGTTCTATCTAAATGCTGCTCGAGACGTGAACTGATTACTTATGCCAAATTGCAAACACAGTAATACTTTGTACACCAAACATAGTAGCATATTTTATGTAGGTACTCAAGAAAACAGTATTGTTTCTGAATTCATAAAAAAACATTTGTATGTATTTAAAGTTCGAAAAAACGTTGTAAATAATGCCACTAATTTAAAGCAATCGTAAATTAAATTTTATAGAAAAAAGCAGTAGCACAAATGGTACAGAGGTACTTTTTTGGTATTATCGTTCTACATACCCTTTCCTTCTCCCTTTTTTGGAAAAATAAAATTAGTAACTTTTCTTTATTAGCTGCTAGTAATGTTTTAATAATAGGTATAAAAATTTGTTACATAAAATAATTCGTACGATAAATAAATTAATATTAATATAAAATAATTTATTATAATTGTTAGTAACATTAAAAATACAGTTATTATAAACCATTGTAGGTTAGTTTGAGTAGCTATTTTCTGTGTTCGTTTTATCTTGTGTTATATTTCGGTAATGTATAGTCTTTCTCATGATTTCAATCATCTCCCTATGATGTTTCACATCCAAATATAAGAAAAGCTTCAACCCCATTTTTGGCCATATTTGAAATAGCAGTGGCTGTTGCGTTATTTTAACTTTTTTAGTGTCAATTCCTATATCAGAAACCGCGGATTTACCCACTGAGGTTCTTCCCTTGACCATTTTCTAACCAAAATTCTTATTTTTTTTTTCAGATGACGGCTGCAAGATTTCCAGTAGTCATAAAAATAGGTCACGCTCACGGAGGACTGGGGAAAGTGAAAGTGGACAACATAAACGACTTCCAGGACATGGCCAGCGTTGTCGCCGTAGCTAACACGTATTGCACCGTTGAGTCTTACGTGGACTCGAANACTATAAACGTATTTCCTGTAGCGACATCTATATGAATATTGTAGTACTTTGTTAGATGAAACGGGACTTCAATTTCCGTTCTTAAGATGTTTGTGAATTGTCGTAATAAATCAAATACTTACAGGGTATTTCTTAAGTTATGTGGCCAGAAATAAGGGATTTTCGTTATATGAATGTGGGGTCATATGACAGCCATTGTCCAGCTACAACGCCAACGTATCAAAAATGAAAAAAAAAATCAGTTTTTAATTTTTAATTTCTAAACTGCTTGAGATAATTTAACCAAATTCACCGTTCATATTTAGTACCTATTACAGTAGATATGATTCCAGCCAGCTTTAGAAACTTACCAGTGGCGGAGGTGTCATCGATCATTATTTGCCAAAAGAATATATAACCCTGTACAATATTACAAATAAAATAGGTGGTCGTCATAATTATGCGCCGTTGTATTATCGTCACTTTTTGTTTCTTTACGCTTTTTTGTATTCCAAATCGATTAACAACAAAATTGATTTATTTAATCAAGTGCATTTTCACTATACTCATTACATGACTTAAAATAATAACAAAATACTTAACAACGGAATTACTTTACTGTGATTTATTATAACACGTGTTAGTAATGGACGCTTTCAGCCAAAATACATGCGTCAAATCTTGAAATTGCAACTCGACCGCGTGCAAACATTCCAGGAGTAGCTCTTATCGCATCACAGCCAGCTATAATTTGTTGACGTAAGTATTCTTCGTATTCAATGTGAACCTTGTAAAACAATGTCTTGGGATATCCCAAAATAAGAAAATAAATAGGGTTCATATCGGGTAATCTGGGTGGCCAAGGTTGACCTGGTTCTTGAGTGCCTCATCCAATCACGTTATTACTGAATCTTTCATTTAAAAATTCACGAGCAGTCAAACTAAAATGTGGGGAAGCCCCGTCGTGTATAAACCACATTCTTTCTCTTAGCGCATAGGGAACATCGTCAAGTAGTATAGGTAAAACGTTTTCAAGAAAATGTCTGTAGAAGGCACGGGTAAAAGTTTTTGGTAAAAAGTAAGGCCAAACAAGAAAATTTCCAATAGTACCCACCCATACATTCAAAGAAAGCTGATGTTGAAACCGAGATTCCATTATGGCATGAGGGTTTTCATCAGACCAAACGTGTTTATTGTTGAAGTTCATTATAGCATCTCTGGAAATATTAACTTCACCGGTAAACAATATGCCAACGGTAAAGTCAACATTTTGTTCAATTTTTTGCAAAATCCAGTGGCACAATTGTAGGCGAGTAGGATAGTCTTGTGGCAGTAAGGCTTGAACCCTTTGTATGTGATACGAGTATAACTGTTGATGCTTCAGAACGGACCAAATTAATGTATGATTCACATTAAGATTTACAGCGATCTCCCTAATACTAGTATTTGGGTCTTATTCAATTTCGTGTAGAATAGCTTCTTCCAACTCAGGCGTTCCAACACGCAAAGGTTTTCCAGGAATTGAACCTTTCTGAAATGAGCCTGACTCCGAAAGAGGTCGAAAAACATTTCTAAACATTCTTGGATGATTGGGAAATCTCTCCATATAAATTCGCCTAGCCTCAGTACCATTTCCATCCGCAAGGCCATAAATGTAAACCATATTGGCCATTTCAGCATTTGAATATGCATAATCCATTATTAAAACTTAATATTTTCAAAAAATAAGCTTAATTTGACAATACACAATATTAAATAAGATTACGGTTTCTTATTATTATTATTTTGCATAGCTTCCCTAAGATATATGTAAGTAGTTTAATATTTACACCATGTATATACTTATTTAATTTTTATGTAAACTACATAGTATACTGGACATAGTATCATCCAGATATGAGCAATTTACATACTTTTCCTTATAAGTTCAAAAGGCAGCCGCATCATATTAAGTCACGTTTTGCAAATAACCTTTTTCTCCTTTTCGCCTCTTTTAAATTTGATCCTGCCAGCTCAATTTACGCCATTCATGCTGCTTTTGTTGAATCATAATGTCTCTGCGAAATATACAAGGTGATTCACAACTTGTCCAAAAAAAAATATGTATGCGATGTAAAATAAGGATAGTTTTATCACAGCTATTTCTGTTTTTAAAGCATTAACATTACAACAAAGTAAACGTAGTGGTCATAAATTATTAAATTAGTGGGTACATACTATTTAATAATGCCCACCCACGATCTTGATGAAGACTTTGATAAAATATAAGATTGAATCAGTGAGTAATGAAGATAAGTTCTATCTAAATGCTGCTCGAGACGTGAACTGATTACTTATGCCAAATTGCAAACACAGTAATACTTTGTACACCAAACATAGTAGCATATTTTATGTAGGTACTCAAGAAAACAGTATTGTTTCTGAATTCATAAAAAAACATTTGTATGTATTTAAAGTTCGAAAAAACGTTGTAAATAATGCCACTAATTTAAAGCAATCGTAAATTAAATTTTATAGAAAAAAGCAGTAGCACAAATGGTACAGAGGTACTTTTTTGGTATTATCGTTCTACATACCCTTTCCTTCTCCCTTTTTTGGAAAAATAAAATTAGTAACTTTTCTTTATTAGCTGCTAGTAATGTTTTAATAATAGGTATAAAAATTTGTTACATAAAATAATTCGTACGATAAATAAATTAATATTAATATAAAATAATTTATTATAATTGTTAGTAACATTAAAAATACAGTTATTATAAACCATTGTAGGTTAGTTTGAGTAGCTATTTTCTGTGTTCGTTTTATCTTGTGTTATATTTCGGTAATGTATAGTCTTTCTCATGATTTCAATCATCTCCCTATGATGTTTCACATCCAAATATAAGAAAAGCTTCAACCCCATTTTTGGCCATATTTGAAATAGCAGTGGCTGTTGCGTTATTTTAACTTTTTTAGTGTCAATTCCTATATCAGAAACCGCGGATTTACCCACTGAGGTTCTTCCCTTGACCATTTTCTAACCAAAATTCTTATTTTTTTTTTCAGATGACGGCTGCAAGATTTCCAGTAGTCATAAAAATAGGTCACGCTCACGGAGGACTGGGGAAAGTGAAAGTGGACAACATAAACGACTTCCAGGACATGGCCAGCGTTGTCGCCGTAGCTAACACGTATTGCACCGTTGAGTCTTACGTGGACTCGAAATACGACATCCACGTCCAGAAGATCGGCGCCAACTACAAGGCGTTCATGAGGAAATCAATTTCTGGTAAGAAAATACCCCAGGATTGACCAAATTGAATTTCACGTTAACAAGAATGACAGATTCAGTAACCTCTTTGCGTTAATGTCAATTTGTCACGCTAGTTTTTTTCATTCAAAGTTAAACTTTGTCCAATAGTTGCAGTTTTTGCGACTAAAATCCAATTTCAGTGATATAAAATAGAAAAATCAGCAATAGACAGTTACTGTTCATTAGTATTTACATTAAAATGAATAGTTAAATGGAGAAATTGGATTCCACTACCTAAACCAGAGGGCACATTTTCTTGTCAATGTGTTCGACTAGTAGACGCGACAGATCGGGAGTGCGAACCCACAGACGACATTTTTTTTAACAACAGTTTTACAAAAAATATTTTATGATACATTTGTTGAAAGTGATCTTATTTTGTCGTGGGGTTGCTCTACTCGCTACGCTTATTCCGCGATATTCCCCACTCACAGAATAATATGTCACTTTTATAGGCGGTTCACCCCCTAAAAAGATGCTTCTAAATGAAGGTAACCGACTAAATTTTTAAAACAAAAACCTACAGCATGAAACTTTTTTTTATTTTATAAAGTGTATTTTTCTGATAATTTACATATATTTTTTATATTTTTTGGCGTGGTCAGTCAATTGTTATAAACAAAAAAAAAAGTTTTTCGTTATTTTCGACAAATAAGCGTTTCATCATCAATTTCGAATGGAACATTCTGACATTCATCTGAGCACCCACAGACTGCACAGTATTCCAGGTTCGATGACAAACAGTTACAAGGAGACACTGCGTTAGATATGCTTCAAAAATATTTTTGTTCATGTAGTGGAAAATGTTCTACGAAAAATTGTAACTGTTTGTCATCGAACCCTGGAATGCTGTGCAATCTGTGCGTGCTCAAATGAATGTCAAAATGTTCCGTCCGAAATTGATGATGAAAAACTTATTTCAATTCAAGAACTTGTCGAAAATTACGAAAAACTTATTTAAAAATTAAATAAAAAGAAATTACTATAATTTTATTGCTCTTAATATTTTTGTAAAATAAAAATAAAATAATTATCCTATACAATAAATTATCCAATAACTTTTTTATTTTTCGAGACCGCTAGGTCAATTATTATTATTAGGTTAATTTTACGATTTAAAAAGCTTATTTAGTTTAGTTTTGGTATAACTTTCAAGTCAATTTTAGCCATTTATAAAACCAAAAATCGAATATTTAAATTTTACTAATTACTTGCAAAAACCTTACTCTGGCTGCAAAACCAAACAAAATGATCTTAAATATCAAAAAAATCATAATAATGTTTATTGTAAATGTAATCTAATCCAAGATATTGTAAAAAGAAAATTTAAATTTGAAGTGTTATCATAATTTTCTTTAAAAGACTTTTTTACTCGGATTAGACCTTCAATAAAATAATTGACCCATACCAAAAAAATATATCTTAAAGTAGAAAATCTGCCAATTATCATGCTTTTTTTAGAATTAAAATCTGTTCAGTAGTTTTTGAGAAAAAAAATCCGAAAATGTGTCGATTTCGTCACTTTTTTCACATTAAATTGTAAATATATCGAAAACGAAGCATTTTTAGAATTTTTGTCAAAGAACAAAAAGTGTTTATTTTGGTCCATTTCACAATAAAAAGCTCAAAGCCATTCGGCAAGTATTTTTTTTACTTCTTTTTTGTTTATAACAATTGACTGATCACGCCGAAAAATATAAAAAAAATATGTAAATTATCAGAAAAATACACTTTATAAAATAAAAAAAGTTTCATGCTGTAGGTTTTTGTTTTAAAAATTTAGTCGGTTCATGCCTTTATATAAGGGTGAACCGCTCGCCTATTTAACACTTGTATCATAAACAACTATTTTTTTATTTTACCTGTAATTATAACGAAGATAGCAATAGTGCCGATTTAATTATCAACATCCTATGTAACCATAAAAATAAATACACTACTTAAATGTTGGAAAAATATCAACATTTTGCTAAATATAAACAAGAATAATACATTAGAAGACTGTTTCCAATCCTCATCTTCGATTTTAGGTTGTTGGAAGACCAACATGGGTTCAGCCATGCTAGAGCAAATTTCCATGCCTGATAGGTACAAGACCTGGGTAGACGAGGTTTCAGATTTGTTCGGGGGCTTGGATATATGTGCTCTAGAAGTTGTTGTGGGGAAGGATGGTAGAGAATACATAATAGAGGTAGGTATAAATGATTATAAACCACGTGATCGTTAGGCGGCCCATCATTGCACGACTTGTCAACTAAAAATCACTAAATCTTAGAGACCTTAGCGTCATCGATATAAATATATAAACCGTTGTTGTGTATGCTCAAAATAATGCGATCCCTGATTGGTTGAATGGAATCTCGTGAAAAATTATACCAATCACAGTTGGTGTAACAGAATGTTGTGTTTTAATGTAATGTTGGTCTTATTGTTTTAATTTTACCGAAATATAATATGTATTTGCCAACGCCAAGGACATAAAACTACTGATCCAAACAAAATTACTGATCACGTGGCTTGTAATCAGTCATGATGACTCTATACAGGGTGATTCACAAAGGGTGACCAAAAATTAAACCTCGTATTTTTTGGTGAATTTTAAAGGGAGTCTTTCGTATAAAGCTTTTATCTAGGACGTTTCATTTTTGGTCATCTTTGTGAATCACCCTGTATTTTACTATTACCAACTAAATATGCAATTTACCAAATACTCAAATAAAATAGTACAGTAAAATAAATTATGATGATAGAATCGTTTTTTTGCGACTTTAGTACATGGAAGGTAATACATATTTCCAAATAACAGTCTGCCGATGGATAAAAATAAAGTAAGACTTTCAAAGTCACCCTGTACGAAACATTTTTTTCGCCTACAAAGTCACGATAACTAATATCTATGCTAACTAAGTAAAGTTCCACTTTCATGAGCAGAATGATGATCGCACAAAAACGTACAATTTCAACATGTTCCAAACCATGTGCTACCACCGCACTTGTCCTGGTAAATCGAGCGATTAATACCAGACCGTAGCGATGCCTCTGTATTAAGGTTACTGTGGGATTCTCGTTATTTTTGCGTGATATACCATGACAGTTAATTAAATGTATAGCGTCCAATGCCATCGTCATCTAAAAATATCTCTAAAATGATGAACTGAGCGAAAGAAACGGCACTATTAACCCACATATTAAGCAATTCATCTCAAGGACGGTAAATGTAAAAATAATAATTTCAGTCTAACACTACTTTTTGTTGACACCACATCAAAATGTTCTGAAATAACGTAACAGTTCTGAGAAATAGTATTGCTTCAGAAGATTATTCTGTACTTTTATGTAAAATCAGTATAAATATGTATATGGAACTCCAGTACTCCCTTATCTGGAGCTTACCAGATAAAACAATTATTTTTATCAACATTGATGCTCTCTAGCGGATAAACGAAGCAACTCAGGATGAAAGTGGTTAAATCTGCTTATTTTGATTGCAAGAAACTGTGGCTGTGTGTAGCTAATTTGTTTTTCTTCAAATGGGTAGTAGAACAAATGGTTTTAAGCAAAACTTTGGTTTCGAGATACAGGGTGTTGAAATTGTGTCGGTTTTCAATTTTGTTGCAATTAGAAATCATTTTTGGACATTAGCTGCCATAAGAATGTTTGAACATGCTCTAGAAAAACATGATGTTGACGACATATGAATTGAAAAATTTTGCAACTATTTTAAAGCTAAAGAACAAAAATCACTAACAATAAATGCTCATAATGAAGCAGGAACAAGTTATGGTTTCTTCATTCCAATATCTACATCTTTACGTTGCAATAATTAAATAGAATGTTTGTTAATTTTTATGTAAGAATGTATATTATGTTAAGGAACGAACAATTTTTTTTTCTCACAGTTATAAGTTTTCTATAATTATATTAATGTATTCATTCTCTCGAATGTCTTCGTGTGAAAGTTATTTGAAATAATAGGTGTTTCCTTGGATCCACTTAATGATAACACCCCCCTTATGAAAATAAAATACAAACGACTGTTTCAGGTGAACGACAGCGCCCTTACGCTTCTGGGAGACTCCCAAGAAGAAGATAGAAGGCACATTGCCGACCTAGTGTCAGCCAGAATGCAAGCCATCTGCAGACCTAGGACACCTCCAAGCGAAGAACCCCCACCACCTCCCGTAGGACCTAGAGGCATATTGGGAAGCTTGACTAGCCTCACGCACTCCACTGATACCCCTCCCCCAAGTGCTTCTGACCATCCATCCTTAGGCAACGTTGGCAGACGCGACAGCCAAGGTGAGCGCAATTGTTATGCTGACAAAATAAAATTTAAAACAGAAAACTCGAACAGTAATAAATGAAGACAAAAGAAATAAATGAAATTAAGTAAATATTTTGATTTGTATGGCATATGCTCAACATTTCCTCCATTGCTGTCCAACACATCGTGTCATGAAGTGTCTTACCATATTAAGATCCAGTAGTATTTTTCAGTTAATTTAACGTGTAACAGAATTGTACCAACTTTTAGCAAAAAAATTACAAGTTGTTTTTCTTGGCTGTGCATAAGAAAGAAACACTGTGCTATTTTCAAGACAAATTCTACTGTTAAATCAGAAATTTGATAGGAGGGACATCAATGAAGTAATAAGAATTATTTAATAAAACTGTTGGCTGAATTTGTGGTTCCGTGGTAGTTGTCGATGACTTTTTAAAGAAATACTTTCTTAGTGTATAATTAGGCAAAACTAAATTTATAAAATCAACCCCTTGATTATATTTTCAGTATGACAAAATGTCCATTTAAATAAAAAATAATACCAAAAAGTGCCCAGAACTAAATAGTTACAGATAATCTAAAATACAATTTGCATAATTTAATTTAATTTGTTATGACATATGATTAATTCCTCTCCATTTGTACAGTAACAGTGTAGATTCTGCTTTTAATTTGAATATTTTAAATGGTCATTGGTCATTTCATTTACAAAATCAATATTCTACTCCCTCTGTGTTTTCAATAACATGAAAGCCTCGTTGAAATAATTTAAATTAATTTTTCGACAAACCATTTGGTTTCAAAATGGGAAATGTAGATTATTCGCATTTTATTTCCATTCCAGATATTATATGTATAAATTTGCAAAATCTGGACATAAAAATGTAACAGCATCACGCATCAATTGTATTTTGGAGAATATCAAATAAATTTCAGACAGCTTCCAACAACTGTATTATGCGAACAATGAAATAATAAAATCGTTTTAATGTTTATTGTTTATGACTTTTGAAATCTAATATGAATTTAGAATATGAATTTTTGTACCGGGTTCTGAAAGAACGAGAAATTTTACGTTTAGAGACGCGGTTGAGTTATTTTTCACTTTCAAGGTCAATTGAAGGTCAATTCCCCTCTCGAACTTCTCAGGTTGGTAACTAAACATTTACGGGACTATTTTGCTTCTAAAGCGAAAATGACTATAATATTCGTGTTTAACTACCCCAGATTAAGTACAAAAGGATTTTTGTATGTAGTCCAGAAGCCGAGATATCAAAGATTTTGCAAGCGCGAGCTATTTAGACTGCACGTCATCAGTTTTCAGAGCGAGCGCGCGCCGCTTCCCCCTACTTCTCCGTTCGGTCCAGCTGACGCATTCAGCGCTTGCACGCTTCAGTTACTCAATTAATAATAATACTAAAAATCAAGTAAACATATCCTATTTTTTTTTTTGAAAATATAAGTATTCAATATTAACCTCCATCAAGCGCAGCGCTGTACAATGTTAATTGCGTCTTCATTTTTTTTTTAAATAAAATAATTAACTCGGCTCCAGAAGGTCGTAGAAAAACATTTTTTTTTAATTCGTGAAAAACTGTCAGCAGTTTCTTTCTTTAAAAGTCATTTTCATAAAATAAAAATTGAAATAGTTATTTGAAAAAAACATACCCAAAAAAAAGTGCAACTTTTTCAGTCATTTTTTTACCCTTAAAATTTATAAAATCGTCAACATTTTTTAACAGCGTGATAATATAACTCTTTACGAAGAAAATAAACCGAAAATCGTTACTGTAGGGCTATCCACTGAGAAGATCTAGCCAATTTTCGAGAGCGCCTTTTAAAAAAAAATCGATATTATCTCGAAAAATAATTAATATTTTTAAATTTTTCAAAAACGTACTTTTTTGGCTTGCCGCGGGCTATGCTTGCAGTAAATGGCAAATATGGGCACGTAAATGTAAACGAGTTATAAAAGAAGAGAAAAGAGAAGATTTGTAACGGTTTTTTCGATATATCTCGAAAAGTAACAAAGCGATCAATACTTACAAAAATTCAGTCGATAGATCTTTTTAAAACCTACAACTTTCTCATTTAAAATTTTTCAATCGGTGCTATATTTTTTTAGTTATTTTAGAAAAACCGTTTTTTGCAACATTGCGATTTTTTTTAACCATGTTCGCCATTTTGGATCGAGTTTAAAGAACAAGAAACTCAATTTAAAATTTAATTTTCTATACCCGAGAGATTCGAGAGAGGAATTTGATATTCAAATGACCTAGAAAATGAAAAAATATCTCAACGACGCATCTGAACGTAAAATTATCTCGCTTTCTTAGAATCCGGAGACCATGAAATAAAATAGGTGTTGACCTTCAAATAACCTTGAACATGGGCTAACTTCGTCAAGCGGCACCGGATTCAACAGTCCCAAAAACGTATGAAAGAACCCCCAAAAGGGTAAAGTAACGTGATTTTACGGCACTGTAAATCTTTTGCTTTCAAATAAACATCAAGTATTCGTGTAACCAACCCGATGTTTTTTCCAGCTTCCCAGTCCAGCACCGTCAGCAGCGCCCCGAGCACGGGCCGTCTTCCAGATCCCCCACCCAGGCCTTTCCAGAGACAGGGCAGCCAATCCCAGGCCGTACCCGAAGACACGGAGGACACCATGAAGAACCTCAGGAAGACCTTCGCCGGAATCTTCGGCGACATGTAAACCGCAAGCCGTACCTTTCGATATATTGATGTTGCTAACATTTTCCGAACGATAATTGGTGTGCTGTTGGAGGGTCTAACTACAACAAAATTTTAATGGATAATATTAAGTATTGGGGTCGTTACTTTTGCTAAGCAATATAATAAAAAAAAAATGATGTTACTCACTGCCTTGGGCTAGGTACCGCCGGTACCTTTGTTATGGTAGCGTAATTGTTGATCTGGATGCGACGAGAGGTAATTCGGTGTCCGTTAAAGTTGCAGGAGGGTCGTTAAGTAACGCCCGTCAACGCTATGTAAGGACGAGGGCTTATACATTAACTTTTATTGAATATTATTTTGTAGAGGTGTTTGAGAATACATGAAATGACAATATTACTGTATTATAACATTGCACTTCTATGTCCTGTAACCCCTGACGACGTTTTGGAGCTATTGAAATGTTGTTCATCGATTATATTAAGGCAACGAAATTTTTTGTGTACTCGACATGTCCCATACTGGTTCTGCAAGAGCACAAGGATATCATTTCCAAAATCAAATTCGCGGTTCTGTCTGCAAAATTTGCAGCCTTCTGGTCCATAATAAATTAAACCTAAAGACGAAACAAACGGGCGAAGGAATAGACCGATCAAAATAACTCATTTAGAGGAAAAAAAAGAAAATTGTTACCTGGACTTTCATAAGTGGAAATGGTAAAGGGGCTTATAATAAAAGAAAAAAAATAAATGCGTGAGCAAGGGTGGCGGAGGGTTGATTTGGGGGGTTGAAAACTTATTAAAAATTGTATCATTGGCATTTCTGGCGAAATTTGACGTCAAACAAAAAAGTATCCAATACAAAAGTTGTAGATTATGCAAAAATCTACAACTTTTGTAGAGGTAATTTTTTAAAATAACCTGAAAATGTCCGAGAAAAATGCAAAAAACAGGTTTTTTTCTGATTTTTCGCTTTTTATTTATCATTTCCGCAAATATAATTTAATTTTGACGAAACTTGGTGAAAGTATACCTTTCTCTGTCTTAAATAACCTCAAATTTTTTTAGTTAAAAAATCAAGAAGTTTCTGAGATATCCATTTTTTTCGCCCTGAAACACTTTTTTTTTTCAAAAAAAATTCTACTTAAAAAAAATCATCGCACAGAGTTCTGCCGGTAATAATTTTTTTCGTTTTGACATACTTTTTGGTGAAATAAAAAAAATTGTAATTACAGTTCAAAAACATGTTCAAAACGCAAAAAAGTAATAATAA